GGTCCATGATATGGGTCCAATAGTAGTGTAGTTGGATGGGGCTTGACAGGAGCTTTCCAACGATATATTATAAGCCCAATTCCGATGAATATTGAGGAAGTTATGGCCAATTTACTAAACTGGGCCCGGTTTGAGCCTTATATGCGTCCCAATGATCTAGGGGAGGGCCTAATATGGATTTATCATTCCTAATACAATCAGGAATGGTTTTAGTCTTCTAGATTCCTCTAGAAGGTTCTTTTCATTCTTAATTCAATTAGCATTGATAAGTTGACTTTTGTTGACTTTTCAGAGTTTTAATTAAAATCAAAGAGCATTTTTGAGAAAAAACGATTTTATCCTCCTGTACGGTAATTTTTATCTTATTTTAAGAAAACGCGTGATTTTTTAAATCAACGCCAAACGCCAGCTGTAGCGCCTAGCGCTACGCTTGGCGCCTGGCGCCAGCTTTGGCGCCTGGCGCTGATGTTGACGCCTGGCGCTGATGTTGGCGCCTGGCGCCAACAGCCAGCGTTGGCACTGGTTCAGTTTTACGTGCGCCTGACTCTGTTTTGATATTATCTTTTTAGCTGATTTTCTCTATAAATAACGTCGTAAAAACTCCGTTTTCATTCACCAACTCTCATCAAGATTCTCTTGATTACTCTCTCTCTCTCTCTCTCTCTCTCTCTCTCTCTCTCTCTCTCTCTCTCTCTCTTTCTCTCTCTCTCTCTCTCTCTCTCTAAACTAGCTTCTCTCAAATACAAAATGCAGCATTTATTAGATTTATATACACCTAGCCATATTCGAAGTTGCCTTTGCCCTAGACGTGAAAGGTTTAATTTCTGAGGGTTTGGTCTCAAATCTCTCTTTCCATTATTTAATTTAATTGTTGTTTATTATTTTCCTTGAAATTACTAACGTGTGTATTTTGTTATTAGAAAGAGGTATGAGGCATCAAAGTAAGTACTTTAATGGTTTTTAATTGATGTTATGATATAGAGTTCATGTTTAGATTGTTATTATGATATTCCTAGTATCATGTCTAGGGTAATTTTAATATCAAGTATGATTAAAAGTATGATGCTTCCTATGTTCTGCCTAATATTTAAGATTGTTAGTATCATGTTAGGGTTAAAGCTTTGATTTTTATTGCTTAGTGACATGCTAGGGTTTGTTATTAATCTTGTTAGTATCATGTCTAGGATCTTGCTATTATTATGCTCTAACATGATTATTATAATTATTATGATTATTTATTATGTTGCTTGATTTTTATTGTTATTGCTTGATCACACCTTTTATGCGTGTTTAAAGGGAATTTGTACTTGTATTCACGCCTAATAAGTTATTTGATAATCTTGTTTAGGGTTAATTTTATTATAGTTCAAGTGATCGCCAATAATAGATTTATTTGTGCATTAAATTCAACCAACATAGATAAACAGGTTTAGGGTAAACCTATTGATTGCATGTTAGTCAAAAAGCGCACATGAATACGATCAGAATAAAGTAGAGGCCTATTATTAGGGCAGGTTCAATCTCTTTTAGGTTGGATTTGTACCTTCATCCCCGAACCCTTATTTGGTTCAAGACCTTATGGAGTTGACGATCTCTTGGATCGTTAAGGGGTGTAACCTTCACCCTGTGAACGGTTTACAAGTTCCTAAAAAACTTATTGGCGACTCTTTTGCTCTATCTTCTTCCCTTTTGGATGCCATCGTACTTTAGTGTATGATCACAGTGGGGTTCAAGCTAGGGGGTTAACGCTTGAAATTATTCCCTACAATATTAAATTTACCCTAGACATGATACTAGGAATCATAATAACAACCTAAGCATGAATTCTATATCATAACATCAATAAAAACCATTAAAGTACTTACTTTGATGCCTCGTACCTCTTTCTAATAACAAAATACACACGTTAGTAACTTCAAGGAAAATAATAAGCAAAACAATTAAATTAAATAATAATTGAAATAGAGATTTGGGAACAAACCCTCAGAAATTAAACCTTTCACGTCTAGGACGAAGGCACTTCGAATATGGCTAGGTGTTTCTAAATCTAATGAATGCGGAATTTTGTATTTGAGAGAAGGCTAGTTTAGAAAATAGAGAGAGAAAGAAAGTAATTAAGAAAATTTTGATGAGAGTTAGTGAGAATTGATGATTGTAAATTATTGTGGATTGTAAATGAAAATTGATAATTGAAAACGGAGTTTTACGACGTTATTTATAAAGAAAATCAGCCAAATAGATAAAATATCAAAAACAGAGTTCTAACGCGGATAAAACGATGTTAGCGCAACGCTGGCTATTGGCGCCAGCCGCCAATGCTAGCGCCAGGCGCCAAGCGTAGCGTCAGGCGCTACAGCTGGCGTTTGGCGCTGATTAGGAATTTGACGCGTTTTCTTAAAATTAGATAGAAATTGCCGTACAGGAGGATAAAATCGTATTTTTCCTCAAAAATGCTCTTTGATTTAAATTAAAAATCTGAAAAGTCAACAAAAGTCAATTTATCAATGCTAATTGAATTAGAAATGAAAAGAACCTTATAGAAGAATCTAGAAGACTAAAACCATTCCTAATTGCATTAGGAATGATAAATCTATATTAGGCTTTCCTCTAGATCATTGGGCCGCATATAAGGCTCAAATCGGGCCCAGTTCAGTAATTTGGTCATAACTTCCTCATTATTCATCGGAATTGGGCTTATAATATATCGTTGGAAAGGTCTTGTCAAGCTCCATCCAACTACACTACTATTGGACCCATATCATGGACCAACCAAACTGGATTGGCTGTTTTCTTAAAATAAGTTTTCAAAAATAGAGAGAAGAGAAAAGAAATTAAAACTATCCGCAACACTAAACTTTCCACACTTTCACTTCATTCGATTATGATTCGACGTGAAAGGTACTCATCACTGGGTTTGGTTTTGGGGAGACACAAATAGGTGTCTACAATCCTCATCACTAGACTTTTCACACTTTCGCTTTGTTCGATAATCAAATGACGTGAAAGGTATTCATCACTGGGTTTGGTTTTGGGGAGACACATTTGGGTGTCTACACTGATAATAAAAATAAATAATAATGCGATAACATAAATAGTAGTAGTAGTAGTTTTTGTATGTTTTTATATGTAATAATAATAGTAATATAAGTAATAGTAACAGCAACGACGACGATGACGATGACGACGACGACGACAACAACAACCAAAACAACAACAACAATAATAATAATTGCTCTACTTTGCATGACTCGGCTCTGCTCTGCACTGCTCTATTGAAATCTGCTCTGCTCTGCTCAGAAACTCAAAAGAGCAAGGCCTAAATGTTGTTTCATATGCAATCAATCTGGTCACACTAAGGCCTCGTTGTTTAGAGCTGCTCTGTTTTGCTGAAATCTGCTCTACTCTACTTCAATCTGCTGTGCTCTGCCCTATTCTACTCAACTATGCTTAAAAATAATACTTAATATTAATTATTATAATAATAATTAATATTTAATAATAAAAATAAATAAATAATATTTAATAATAATAATATTAAAAATTAATATTTAATAATAATAAATAATATTTAATAATAATACTATGATTAAAAAATAGTATTTAATAATAATAATAAGTAATTAATATTTAATATTTATGATGATGATAATAATAATAATAAATATCTAATAATAGTAATATTAAATAATTAATATTTAATAATAATAATAATAATAATAATTAATATTTAATAATAATAATAGTAATAATAATAGTAATAATAATAATAATAATAATAATAATAAGTAATAATAATACTTATTGTTAATAATATTAGTAGTAATAATAACAACATTAACAATTAGGGATAAATCTGATATTTACTTTAAAGTTTTAAGTAATACTTTAGTTTTTATTTTTTTTTTTTAATTTTGTTTTTTAGGACCAATCTTTGTTGTTGATTTCAAACATTGTCAGATTGTGGAACTTTTGTAGGCCTTAAACCATAGTGTTTAGTTTATATTTCTTTCACGTCGTTAAAAATATCGTGTGAAAAAACAGCCTCACTTTTCCCTTTTTGAACCAATACAATAAAAAAAAAAAAAAAAATTGCTTTCAAGATGATTTAAGATTTGTTATACAATGAATGTATGATACTTTAGAATGAAGTGGAGTATTTTGTTTTCAAAAATTAAACAACGTGCATAATTTAATAAATGGTTAGGAAATAACATTTTAATTCCAATTTAATAAATGGTTAGGAAATAATATTTTATGAGTATTGAATGATGGTTTAATTACCAATATCAAGCTTCACATATTCCATTGAATTAAGATATATGCCTTAATTAGAGAAATTTGCTAGTTTTTATGTATAACCCTAAATGACAATGTGGTAATCCTATCTAAATTTAATAGCAAATGGCCACAAAAACATTTTACTAATAATCTTTCATATACAAATACAAATTAGTTTTTTACAATTTTTTAAAACTTTTAACCATTTAACTTTGATTATATTTAATTCAATTTAATTGCCTAAAACAATGTATAGGTCATAAGTATAATGTTTAAAAAACACATTGAGGGAGTATCAAATTTTAGTTTAATTTGTACTTCAATATATTAGAATTTGTTTTATATATATATATATATATATATATATATATATATATATATATATATATATATTAAAGTGTACCGTACATCCGGAGTCATTTGCTCATTTAATCAACAAATCAAAAATATCCCTTTCACGTATAGCAAGCTATTACCCCAACCCCCTAAGCTAAAGCCTCTGTTTTGCAAGCAAATAATTATTGCTCATTTAATTAAATAAGCAATTTATTTGCTCATTTGTTTATTAAATAAGCAAATGGCTATGTGGCATAAATCTAGCTTATTGGTAGGTGTGCGATAATGTTTTGATAATAGGCCCACCATATAAAAACTCATATTAGAACAAAATATTTGATTTGAGCCTAAGAATTACCTATTGATCAAAATATTTTTGGAACAAAATGGATAGTAGCATCAAAGTGAAGAAATCAACCATGGTGCGGCCTGCTAAGGAGACTCCGAAAGGAAGTCTTTGGCTATCAAAGTTAGATATAATCATACGCCCTCCTAATTCACATACTAATGTTATCCACTTTTATTCTCCCCATAAAACATCTTCGAAAATCTTTGATGTCAACATTTTCGAGGAGGCTCTTAGCAAATCCTTAGTGTCATTCTATCCAATGGCGGGTAGGTTAAAATTTAACAATGAAAATGAAAGGTATGAGATCGATTGCAATGCAAAGGGGGTCTTGTTTATCGAGGCAGAATCAACTAAAGCTCTTGCCGATTTTGGGGACTACTTGAGGTTGGATTCTCAACTAAGGAAGGTAGTGTTCCCTAAATGTGACTACTCGAGAGGGCTCTCGTCATTCCCTCTATTACTAGTGCAACTTACTCGCTTCAAATGTAGTAGTGTATGCCTTGGCTATGCACCACATCACCATGTAGCCGATGGATCTTCTAATTTTCACTTCCTCAACTCATGGGCAAGATTAGCGAGGGGGTTAGACCTCAATGTTTATCCTGTTCATGATAGGGCTACTTACCTTGCTCCTCGTAACCCGCCTCAAGTTATGTTTCGGCACTTGGAGTATGAGCCATCCTTGCCCCCCTTTACCACCAAAGGGCGGCTTATCAGGTGATTATATACTTTTTATTTTTTTATATTATTTTTATTATATTGATTGAAATACACATCAAAATATAGAGATTAAGGTGGTAAATTATTTTTGTTTTATATGAAAGGTTTTATGAACTTGGGTAAGACTTGTATGTGGCTAATTATACGGTGTGAGTCGTGTGACCAAATTGGTTTATAAGAGTAACCTTTATTTATATGTGTGAGGAACCTTATTTTTTTTATAAGATGTTCATAAAAGTTATCCAAATTCATTATTTGATTTATATGAGTAGAATCAAATAACTTAGAAATAAGTAACCTCATTTGTTCATTCGAATAACTCCATATATTTAAGAGAGTAACTTTTTTTTCTCATCTAAGTAACTTAAACATATTAAGGTCACCCCATTTGCTCATCATCGTAACCCCCTATTAATTAATTAAATTGTTTTATACTTAATTATGTGAAGTGACCACACTATGTGGCTAGACACATATAAGAATTTTTGATGAACTTGTCATGTCATTAGAAGTGAAAATTAAGCTCGAAGATCCATCGGCTACATTAATTTTGAAAATTAATGTTTTAAGGTGGTCAGATTATATTATGTAATTGAGGTTATGAATTTTTAAGTGAGGGTAAAGTAGTAATTTTATTAGAAAAAAAATTACCAATAAAAGAAAGAAATAGAAAGTTGTGAGCCTTGCAGTTAATGTGTAGCACTCCTAATTTGCAAAAAAATATATAATAGATGTAGTATATGATGCACCAACGAATGAAAGTTAAAATAATATATTGGTATGTAGTATATGATGCACCAACGAATGAAAGTTAAAATAATATATTCGTATGTAAATAGTGTAAACGTCAAAAACATCCATAGAAATTGGAAAGAGAGAGTGTAAAAATAAACTGCAAATATCAAATAACCAATAACACAATAATGAACCTATCTCTTTCCAAAAATCATCTTCTACGTGTTTTATACGTAATTTGTTGTAATATCAATTGTGGAGTAGTTTATAACATTTATTTTTATTTTTTTCCTCTGCAGACTTATAATATTTGTTTATATAATCTACTATCTCCGTTTTATATTATTTGCAACGATTTGACACAAGTTAGAGAAAAAAATATCTAATCATTGCAAAAAATATGAAATAGAGGTAGTATCTTCTATTTTAATTATGACCAGTCCTGCTATCACTATTTCTAACAAGTGTCAAATTCACGTGTGGTTACCTATTTATTAATGAGTATAATAAATAGATTAGTCCCGTGCGATGCACGATTTTAGTAATAAAGTATTTGATCATATCTATTAGAAGACATGATGTTAAATATTCTAATTAAATTCATAATAATTAAAATATTTTTTTTAAAAAAAAAATGCTAGCATTAGTGTTTAGTTGTTAATATAGGAGGAAAGAAAGAAAAATGAAAGAGCCAACCACCAATTATGTCGTATTTTTTTTCTCTATAAGAAAAATATGTTATTTAAATTTCGTAAAAAAAGTTTAAGTGTTTATGAAAATGTGTAATTAATTTAGCTTTTTCCAAACATCAGCTTTATCTATTTTTTTGAAAGGAAAAAAGAAAAATAAAATAAAAAGAGGATGATGTCAATTATAGTTTAAGCGGGAATTTTTTTAATAAAAAGTTGACACATAAGCAATAGTGATGTCAGCAGTTTCTACTTTAGTTATAGTTATAGATTAGGCAAAAGCTAACGAACGTCTCGGGGTGTTAGATAATATAGCTAAAAATAGAAAGATTAAATTAAAATGAACATTAATTACACCAATTGACGCGTGATTTTGTCATGATTTTCCAAATTAATACCACTTTTAGTAATATTTTAAATACTTACTCCGAGAGGCGTTCGTTAGGAAGATCCTAATAATTATTCTATGAACTTTTGCATAAAATTAACACGACACTTACAATTTAATTAGGTGAGATGGTTATGACAACAGAGTGCATTTTCAATCTCACTAAAGACCAAGTCAACACCTTAAAACTACAAGTAACATCTCAAGCAATAACAAAGTACAATCCAAGTAGATTTGAGGTTCAAGCTGGACACCTATGGCGCACTGTATGCATGGCACGTGGATTAGCATATGATCAACAAGTCAAACTTTACATATTAGTAAATGGACGGTCAAGATTACAAAAGTATATGGAGCTACCACAAGGGTATTGTGGTAATCTCCTCTTTCATGCAACTTGTGTAGAAAAGGCAGGAGATATCACTTGCAAACCATTGTGGTATGCTGTAAGTAAGATTAATAAAGCAATTAAAAAATTGGATGATATTGAGTATTTGAAATCAGCAATTGATTTTGTGGAAACACATTCAAATTTAGAACTTTTGGTTCATGGGCCACAAACAACTACTAGCCCAAACCTCTCAATAAATTCTTGGGCTACGTTGCCTTGTTATGAGGCTGATTTTGGATGGGGTAAGCCTATATTTACTGGCATTAATGGAATCAAACATGAGGGGCAAACTTTCATAACACCAAGTGATAATGGTGATGGTAGTTTTCTGTGGCTGTCAAGCTTTTCACTACTCATATGGAGGCTTTGAAGGAATACTTTTACAAGTTTAGCAGCAAGCTTTGAATTTGAATACTTATTTGTGATTTATTATTATTATTATTATTATTATTTTATTCATTTATTTTGAACACATTTAATTGTGAATCTAGTATTACCATTTTTAATGATTTTTGTAAGGTTCGGGAATGATTGACTTTTATCATGATACTATGAATAAGATTAAAAAAAAATCATTCCCAAACCTTACAAAAATCCAGTTATTCCCGTACCTTACAAAAATCAATCTATTTCTTACAATGTTAAGAAATAGAGGTAGTATATTAAGATCCAATAAAGATGTTGTACAGCTACTGTTATTGATCTATACTATGTTGGTGAATTTTACCATGTAATTTCTATTATTGTTTATCAATTGTGTGGATTCTATTATATATATGTGTAGACACCCATGGGTGTCTCCCTAAAACCAAACCCAGTGAAAAGTACCTTTCACGTTGAATCATAATCGAATGAAGTGAAAGTGTGGAAAGTCTAGTGTTGCGGATAGTTTTTAATTCTTTTCTTTCTATCTGTTTTTTAAAACCTATTTTAAGAAAACAGACAATCCAGTTTAGTTTGGTCCAAGCCAAGGGTCCAATAATTGTGTAGTTGGGTCGGGTTCAAAAAGAGTTTTTCAACGATATATTATAAGCCCAATTCCAATGAATAATGAGGAAGTTATGGCCAAATTACTAAACTGGACCCAGTTTGATCTTTATATGCGGCCCAATGATCTAGAGGAGTGCCTATTATTGGTTTATCATTCCTAATGCGATTAGAATTGATTACAGTCTTCTAGATTCTTTTAGAAGGTTCTTTTGAATCCTAATTTAATTAACATTGATAAATTGACTTTGGTTGACTTTTTAGAGTTTTAATCAGAATAAAAGAAGTATTTTTAAAGAAAATACGATTTTGCCCTCTCGTACGGCTAAATTTTATCAAATTAAAAAAATGCGTGGAAATTTATTTCCAGCATCTGACGACAGGACCAGCGCCTGGCGCCATACCTGGCGTCTGGAGCTAGAGTCCAGCGTTTGGCGGCACGCGTGCGTTTGGCGCTGCGATTGTGTTTTATTCTTTTCGAAACTCTTATTCGTTTTTTATCATATCCGACTGATTTTCTCTATAAAAAGCCTCCTAAAACCTCCGTTTTCCATGAACAACTCTCTAATTCTCTTCTCCCTCTAAGCTAAAGCTTACTCTCTCTCTCTCTCTCTCTCTTTTCTAAACTAACCTTTTGCATACAAAATTCCGCATTCACAAGATCTAGAAACACTTAGCCAAGTTCGAAGTGAAAGGTTTGATTTCTGAGGGTTTGGTCCCAAATCTCTCTTTCAATTATTTAATTTAATTGTTTGATTTATATTTTCCTTGAAGTTACTAACGTGTGTATTTTGTTATTAGAAAGAGGTACGAGACATCCAAGTAAGTGCTTTGATTGATTTATTGATATTATGATTCTTAGAAATTATGTTTAGATTGTTATTATAATTCCTAGTATCATGTTTGGATGTTTTGATCTTCCTAATATCATGTTTAGGGTAACAACTATAATTTCTAATATCAAATATAACAATTGTGATTTCTGCGATGCTTCCTATTCTCTTCCTAGTATTCATGTTAGTATCATGTTAGGGCTAAAGCTTTGATCTTTATTGTTTAGTGACAAGATAGGGTTTGTTATTAATCTTGTTAGTATCATGCCTAGTATCTTGCTATTATTATGCTTTAACGTGATTTTTACTATGATTATTATTATGTTGCTTGATATTTATATTTGTTATTGCTTGATCACACCTTTTATGCATCTTTAAAGGGAATTGGTACTTATAATCACGCTTAATAAGATAATTAATAATCTTGTTTATGGTTAATATGATTATAATTCAAGTGATCGCCAATAATAGATTTATTTGTGAATTTATATTCAACCATCATAGATTAAACAAGTTTAGGGTTATCCTATTGATTGCATGTTAGTCAGATAACGCACATGAATACGATCAGAATAAAGTAGAGGCCTATTATTAGGGCAGGTTTAATCTCTTTTAGGTTGGATTTGTACCTTCATCACTGAACTACCAGTCATGGTTCCAGACCTATTGGAGTTAACGATCTCCTGGATCGTTAAAGGGTGTAACCTTCACCCTGTGAACGGTTTACAAGTTCCTAAAACTTGTTGGCGACTCTTTTGCTCTAACTTCCTTCTCTTTGGACGCCACCATGCTTAAGTGTATGATCATACTGGGGTTCAAGTTTGGGGTAATGCTTGAAATATTCCCTATAATATGCATTTATCATGATGTGGATACGACTCTAGTTTTACTAGATGAAATCCGTGTGATGCACGGTTTGTTTGAATTTTTTAAAATAAATTATTTTTTCTAAAAATTGTTATAGAGAAATTATCAATGGTGACCCCAACTTTTACTACGCACCAATGGTGACCTCCCTTTTTTTTTAGGAAAAATGGAAAAGAAAATTCCAACATTTGCACTTTTTCCTCCTAAAAATCCAACTTTCGTTTTATTCCTCAAAAATCCAACCTTTATACCCCACCTTCTCCAACAGATCCATTACCTGTTGATGACCGGTTTTTATAAGTTATATGTCACATGTCAGCTATTAATAGGTCAAATTATTTTTTAATTATTAAAAAACTAAAATAATTAAAAAAAAAAAAAACTAAAAAAAAAAATCAGAAAAGCATCCCCACCCTCCTTCCCTGACCACTCCATCCCCACCGCCCACCAGCCACCGAAACCCTGCAACCCATTCTCCTCACCACCGAAAAACCCACACCACTCCTCCCGCCGGTCCCCTACACTTTCCGTTTCAGTAGCGCCGCAACGATCACCACAATCACAACCGCACCACGCACCCTCCAACTCTAACCTCACGCTGCACCATTCCCACCAATCACCTCGCCACCACACGACACCAACAACACAACTGCACAACCACACACTTCAGCCCACCAATTCACCTTCACTGACAACATCAACTCGCCAACAACAATCACAATTGGCGCAATTGCAGCAGCTAACCACCAATTTCAGCCCAATATTAGCCAACAATCGACCACCAAACTGTTGCCCCAAACTACAGCCAGCCACCTATCCCAAACAGACCACCAATTCGGCTGCCGCCGCATCATTTCCACCATCGCAGTCGAAGCCCACCAGCGTTGCCACCATTCGAACCTCAACAAGCCCCAACCTCACGAAACACTTTACCTACCTAAAGGCAACCTCCACAACCATTATTGCCGCACCCAACAACTCCCATTCAATCAACAACCATTGCAGCCCCACAATCAGAGCAAATCGCAAGTTTATTCAAGTTTGGGCTTGTGGTTTCGAGCATAGGTAGGAGTGGGAGAAGGGTTTCGGTTCTGGGTTTGGGTAAGGTGAGGTAACTGGTGGCAGAGGTGGTGGTGGCAGCAGAGGTCCATTCTGGTTCACTTGTTTCAGTTTTTAGGAGAGAGGAGAGAGAAAGAGGAGTGAAAGAATTAAAAAAAAAAAAATCAAAAAAAAGTTTTTAACCTGTTTAACAGGTTAAAGGTCAAATGGATCTGTTGAAGAAGGTGGGGTATAAAGATTGGATTTTTAAGGAATAAAATGAAGGTTGGATTTTTAGGAAGAAAAAGTGCAAAGGTTGGATTTTTCTTTTCCATTTTTCCTTTTTTTTTTATTATTATACAAAATAACCGTAAGTAAGAATTTTATCTCACTTATGACATTAATGAGTGTTATTTAGATTTAAAAAAATATTTTAACTATGGTTAGCTTTGCTTATAAAATTAAAAAAAAAAAAATATCAGCCACCACCTCCTCCCTCATCCCTTACCAGACCTAGCTAACACCACCTCCAACCTCCCTCAGCAGACCGCCGAATCACCCACCTGAACCACCGAACAATTGCCTCCCCCCTTTCCTCCGCCAAGACCCAAACCCTAACCTCACTACCTTCTTTCTCCTCTAGCCATTCTTTCTCCGACTTAGGCCGTTTTGATCGAGGAGGGGTGGTGGGTTAAGGGATTGAGGTTCAATTCTATGCGGGGAAAAGGCGGAAGATAAAGAGAGAGAGGGCAAAGGAGAGGGCGAAGGAGAAGGCGGTAGAGAAATAGAGAGATGAGGATCGGTGATTCGGTGGTCGGGGTTTATGGCGTTCGACAAGTATAAAGTGGTCTTGGGGTTTGGGATTGACAATATGGGGGTTTGGGGGTTTGGGTTTGGGTTCGACGCTTGGGGGTTTGGATTCGGTGGGATAGAGGTGGTCGGGCAGTAGGTCGTCGACAGTGAAAGGGGAGGTGGATAGCTGGTTGATAGAGATGGTGGTGTGGGTGGATGGGTTGGTGGTTGTTATTTTTTTAAGTGTCATTTTTTTAAAAAATAACCATAGTTAATTTTAATTATTTAATTAATGAAATAAAGTCATAAATGAGATAAAATTCTTAACTAAGGTCATTTTGTATAATAAAAAAAAAGGGAGGTCACCATTGGTGCGTGGTAAAAATTGGGGGTCACCATTGAGAATTTCCCATTATTATATATTTAAATAAAATTTCTAATATCAAAAGATAATATTTTTAAAGTGAAAAAAATCTCATTTGCCAATTTTACTTACGTGACATTTGAATTATTTAATTCATAAATAAATTAATAATATCTTACTTTATTGGCTACATCTAAAATTTATAATCCTACATGGCGCTAAGAAAAATAAATCCTACGTTACGTAGCTTTCTAAAAACTCGGAAAAAAAAAAAAAACTTGCCCTAAACTTTTAAGCTTGAATGTTAAATACGAACATATAATCCTTTTGATAATGTAAAATATTAATTAAGACATACGATATCATATCGTCTATTAATATAATAGTGTACTTTTTGTAGTTTTATTTGTAAATAGATATATATGTTGTTATTATTAACATCAAAATTTTTTATTGAACTTAATTATTTCTAATGAACAGAGTGTATTTTACCAAACTAAATTATTTTTTACAATTAAAACTTGTTTTTACTAAATTTCTATTAGTTTTGTAAAATATATTTATTAAATGGATCTCGTTTTAAAGAACTTTTTAAAACGAATTTTATGATGAAAATAGAAATAAGTTATAAGATATTTATTAAAAGTTATAATTAATTTTGTATATATAAAATATTAGA